AAGGAACTCAAGTCAAACTGACTCCACTGAACCTCTGAGTCCTGGTCTACCCAGCCTGGCAGGCAAGCAGGTAGACCAGGGAACCCCGGCAACCCTTAGGTCAGTGGTTCTCAACCTGTGGGTCGCGACCCCTTTGGGGGTTGAACGACTGTTTCACAGGGGTCGCCTAAGATCAGGGCTTTTTTTCTCATAGAACACTCAGAACGACGTTCGAACACCTTTTTTGATGGATTTTTTTAACTTTTCCATGAGCTGTGCTACTCCCTCTATTCTATAGGCTTTCGAAAGCCAATAGAATAGACTCTATTGAATAGACTCTTAATCTATTCAATAGATTGTCTATTCAATAGACTTTATTCTATTGGCTTTCAAAAGCCAATAGGAATTGTCCAGACCTGGTCGTTAACGGCTGTCTCTGACCCAGCCCGCAAATGTTGCACATGCAAGTTTCTGCAGCAAAGGCAAGTTTGCAGGAACTTTTCACCCCTCCTTGCTGAGCAACTACGCCATCTCCTACTTGTAAGTAAAAGAGGACCAGGGATGGGAGGTGGGGAGCAGCACTTAATTCTGCCCTGCTGAAAAAGCGGAGTCCATGTGCACTCCTGCCTCATGCTCACCCGTGTCAGCCAGGCTCTCCATGTTGCGCTGCAGCATGGAGAGCCTGGCACTGAAGCACGGAAAACATGTGCTTGCCTGCCTCATGCTCACCTCGTGCGCCATCGGTGTGCATTGCGGCTGCTGCTGTGGGAGCCGCGGGGCCCGCTTGACATAGCGGGGCTGCGCAGGAAAGGTGGCGGAGGTGGTGCTGGTGGGGCAGTGGCGGGTGCTGGGTGTGAAGGTGGTGTGCATGGGGCATGGCGGGTGGCTGACCTTCCTTGGGCTGGGCCAGCTGGTGGCCTAGCTGGTGCTGGACCTGCGCCGCTGCTGCCTCACCTTGTGTGCCTACATGGCCGCCCTGGAGTGCCTTGCCTGGAACGACTGCTGCCGCCTCGACCTGCCTGCCGTCTGCACCCTCCCACCGCCTTGCACTGGCGTCTGGCTTGGCGACTGCAAGCTCTGCGCCATCAGTGTGGTGTGCGCCTGGTGCTGTGGGAGCCGCAGGGCCCACTTGACACAGCGGGGCTGCACGGGACAGGCAGCAGCAGAGATGGTGCTGGTGGGGCACTGGCAAGCGCAGGGTGCGAAGGTGGCACGCGTGGGGCACAGCGAGTGGCTGACCTTCCTTGGGCCGGGCCAGCTGGTGACCTAGCTGGTGCTGGACCTGCACCACCGTTGCCTCACCCTGTGTGCCTACATGGCCGCCCTGGAGTGCCTGGCCCACGATGGTTGCCGCCGCTTCAGCTTGCCCACAGCCCACACCCTCCCGCCGCCCTGCACTGGTGTCTGGCATGGCAACCGCAAGCTCTGCGCCATCAGTGTGGTGTGCAGTTAGTGCTGTGGGAGCTGCAGGGCCTGCTCTACACAGCAGAGCTGTACAAGGTGGGTGGCGGGGTGGCGGGGCTGGCAGGGCGGCTGCAGGCGGGGGTATGGGGCGGGGGCAGCTGCACCAGCTACTCCGGCTCGGGGGGGCAGCACGCCACCGATGCCCCCCGTGCCTCACACATCATATTCTTAGGAACCTGTCTCGCTTTCAACTCCCCCTAAAATTCTTCATTCAGGCAGGCTTCCAGAGTTCGGCCGGCAGGATGCAGGTAACCCCTCCCCCCTGTCCTGCCGCCTCCCAAGGCACCGTGCTGCTCCGTGTCTCGCACCTCAACCCTCCGTGGCACAGAACCGCTGGCGTGATCCCTAATGGCCACTGACGTGCTCCCCACCGCCGGCGACCATGCAAGCCCTGGCAATTGCTCCAGCCGAAGAAGTGGGTGGCTGGGAGGCACCGATCTTCTGCGCCTGTCAGCTGGCGACCCCCTGAATGTGCACTTGTCAGCTGGTAGGTCTGGCAACAGAGCCGGCCAGCATGGAGGGAGATGGGGAGGTGGCGGCTCGGTGGGCGGGTTCCCACCTGCCTATGAATGTCAGGCCCACGGGGCTCAACACAGAGTCGACGGTCCAACATAACTTCCCTCCTCGGATGAGAAAGAAGAGAAAGAATCTCTCCCACCTGTGTCCCTTTCCCCCCCTCAAGCGACAACAGGAGGTTGCAGACAGTCAGCCGGTGCAGGAAGCCCTGGAATGGCCAGTCCAGGGCGCCTGGTTGCAGTGCTGGATGTCTTTTGCAGTGCTGGATGTCTCCTAAAAGCCGGTGGCAAGAGAAAGAAGTCNGAGGGAGAGGGAGAGAGAGAAAGAGAGGGTGAGAGAAAGAGGGGGAGAGAGAAAGGGAGAGAGAGAGGGAAAGAGAAAGAAAGAGGGAGAGAGGGAGAGAGAAATAGGGGGAGAGAGGGAGAGAGAGAAAGAGAGGGAGAGGGAGAGAGAGAAAGAAAGGGAGACAGAGAGAGAGGGAGAGAGAAAGAAAGAGAGAGAGAGATTAAATTAGTAACATGGTTGTTAAATGAATCTGGTTTCCCCCATTAACGTTGCTTGTCAGAAGGTTGCAAAAGGCGATCACATGACCCTGGAACAATGTGACCATCATAAATATAAATATGAATCAGTTGCTAAGCATCGAAATGTAAATCACATGACCTTGGGGATGCTGCAACGGTCATAAGTGTGAAAAATGGTCATAAGTCACTTTTTTCAGTGCCATTGTAACTTTGAACAGTCACTAAGCAAACTGTTATAAGTCAAGGACTACCTGTACTTTATCACTTTTTTCCATTTTTTTTGGTCATCAAGTTTTTGACACCTCGCTAGGTGACTGGTGGTATTCGAATGTTGCCATATTCTAAAAGTGGTACAGTCGGCGAAAAGGTTGAAAAGCCCTGTACTAATGGACCAATTATTTCATAACAGTAGCAAAATTACAGTTACGAAATAGCCACGGAAATAATTTTATGATTGGGGTCACCACAAGATGAGGAACTGTATTAAAGGGTCACGGCATTAGGAAGGTTGAGAACCACTGCCTTAGGTGTTCTGAACGATCAAGAAGGTCACCTAAGTATCTGCAAGATTATGTAAAACAGTTAAGGGTTTGAACTATCTAGGGGGAAGGGGTGTAATGTATTAATAATAATAATAATAATAAAGTTGGAAGGGACCTTGGAGGTCATCGAGTCCAACCCCCTGCTCAGGCAGGAACCCTACACCATTTCAAACAAGTGGCTGTCCAGTCTCTTCTTAAAACCTTCCAGTGTTGGAGCATTCACCGCTTCTGGGGGCAGGTTGCTCCATTGGTTAATTGTTCTAACTGTCAGGAAGTTTCTTCTTAGTTCTAAGTTGCTTCTCTCCTTGATCAGTTTCCACCCGTTGCTTCTCGTCCTGCCTTCAGGCGCCTTGGAGAATAGCTTGACTCCCTCTTCTTTGTGGCAGCCCCTGAGATATTGGAACACTGCTATCATGTCCCCCCTCATTAAACTAGACATACCCAATTCCAGCAACCGTTCCTTATATGTTTTAGCCTCCAGTCCCCTAATCATCTTTGTTGCTCTTCTCTGTACTCTTTCTAGAGTCTCAACATCTTTTTTACATCGTGGTGACCAAAACTGGATGCAGTATTCCAAGTGTGGCCTTACTAAGGCATTGTAAAGTGGTATTAATACTTCACGTGATCTTGATTTTATCCCTCTGTTAATGCAGCCCAGCACTGTGTTGGCTTTTTTGGCAGCTGCAGCACACTGCTGGCTCATATTTAAGTGATTGTCCACTAGGACTCCAAGATCCCTCTCACAGTTACTACTATTGAGCAAGGTACCCCCTATACTATACCTGTACATTTGATTTTTCTTGCCTAAATGTAGAACCTTACTTTTTTCACCATTGAATTTCATTTTGTTAGATAGCGCCCAGTGTTCAAGTCTGTCCAGATCCTCCTGTATCCTAAGCCTGTCTTCTGGAGTGTTGGCTATTCCTGCCAGCTTGGTGTCATCCGCAAATTTGATGAGTTCCCCATCTATCCCCTCGTCCAAATCATTGATGACAATGATTTGGTCACAACTGTTTTGAATCACTTGTTTGAATGTGTGACCTAGATTCTGTTGTTATGTAATGGCTGCTGTAACTTAAGCCAGACTTGCTGTCTCCAGGCTGGTAATTAGGTTTTGGGCAGGAAACTGTTACTTTAAACCTATTGGTTGCCGCCTGGAGGGTAACCATATAAATAGCTGCGCAGCTTCTGTTCAGAGTTAAATAAAATTGTTGCTGTTTCAACACTTGTCTCACTTAATGCCTTCAAGAATCAAATACTTAACAATTTTAACAACCGATCTAAACAGGTTAGATAACCCAGACAGGTTAAGAAACCTTTAGGAAATTTGTTTTTCTGACTGCTCCCTGTACTTAGGCCCTGTGATGGAGACTAGAGCCATTTTTCATGAAAGGAGACCTAATAGGTTTTGTTATGTCCTATCAAATGTGCTTCTAGACAATAGTTTGCCTAACCACTGTAGTGTAAATTGGTAATGTACAAACCAGGACAACCCTTCAGAAGAGTAGTGAGCGTGGCTTGTGTTCTGATGCAGTAGATCTTTGGGGTCTGGCTGCTGTGTTTGGATATTTTCAGGTAATGTGCAGTTTTCTTTAATAGAAAACAATGCTTTTTTAAAAGGGAAGACAGTACTTGAGACAATGAAAATTAGATTGCAATCACTATTCTGTAGGACACTCAGCAGAACATGTGCTGTTTTTTGAATGTTAACCAGGCCCTGAAACAGCAAGTTTGTCATCTGCATCATGTACCCCTAGCTGAGTTAGCTAATCTGGTATATGCCACATGGCTGGGTGATGGGGATGTTAGAAATAAGGATTGTCAAGACTGATGATTTTGTGGGTGTGTTTAGTTACATACAAGAAGCACCACGACTACTGAAACAGCTGTACGCACAGCTGTAATCATATCTATCCCACACAGAACTGCAAAACTGTACTATGAAAGTTAATTATGTCAGTAATCTCTTTCATAGGCAATTAACACTGCCATCAAGAACAAAATTCCCTGTGTCGTGGTGGAAGGTTCTGGTCAGATAGCAGATGTGATTGCAAGCTTGACAGAGGCAGAAGGCACACTTACGTCCTCATCTGTTAAAGAGAGATTGCTCAGATACTTGCCTCGCACACTTTCTAGACTCAATGAAGAGGAGATTGAGAGTTGGATCAAATGGGTAAGTATATACATTCTTCCTCCATGTAACTGGGACATTTATGGTTATACATATAATTAATTTGCTAGACTGTGATGGAGAACTTAATGAATGCTAACCTAAGAGAGAAAGGGGAAATTTATTCTGCTTCAGATAGTTCAGGGCTTAGACATGTAAATAGAAAATGGGGAACAGCTTGAGTAAGATACTAAAGGTTACAAAATCAAGTGTCACCTTCCATTGGCCATTTTGAGAACTTAAAAATGCTAGTAACTAGGAATGGAATATTTTAATATTTTTCTAATTTCTAAATTTATTATTAATAAGTTTCTAATGCCGTTTCTATCCTGATCTTAACTTTAAAAGATTCTTAAGACAATTCTAATTTCTAAATGTATTATTAGCAACATTTTTATTGCAATTTCTATCCTGCTCTTCACTTTAAAAAAATTCATGACAAAACTATAACAATATAATTATAAAATGAGATAAATTTGAATTTGAATTTGAATTTTTGAATTTGAATTTTATTATATTTATACCCCGCCCTTCTCCCGGAGGACTCAGAGCGGCTTACAGCCAGTTTAAAAACAACTTACTACAATACAACATACAAAATTTAAGAAAATGATTAAAAATAAATATTTAAATAGGCCGCTTCTACTAAAATTTAGTTAAAACCAATTTAAAATACCCCTAGGCCAGTCCTGCCCGCTGAAACAACCAGGTCTTGAGGGCGCGGCGGAAGGAGGGGAGATCCGGAATCACCCGGATCTCTGGGGGCAGCTCGTTCCAGAG